GGAGGGGTAGAGCGCCGCGCTCTCGGAGAAGAGCCAGCCCAGCGCGTCGTTGCGCCGCAGCTCCAGCGGGGGGCAGCGCCCCGTGTAGTTGCGGAGGCCCCTCTTGTACTCGTGGTTGTAGCAGTCGGGGAAGAGGTAGAGCCCCCACAGCCCCCCCGGCCGCAGCCCCCGAGCCAGGCGCAGCGTCTCGGTCAGGAAGCGCCGGGCCGCCATGTCGAACTCCCAGGCGGCCTGCCACTCCACCTGCGCCAGGCAGAGAGGGAGAGGGAGGGCCTGAGCCGGCGGGCGCCACCAGGGGGGGGGCAGGCCGGCTCCCGGGACAGGGGGACCCACCTTCCCGGCGGGCCAGTCCGGCCACAGCGCGCGGACCAGCTCCCGCGACTTCCGCTGGTACACCGCCTTGCCGGCCCAGTTGCGCTCCCACTGCGGGCGCCACTCCTCCCAGTCCACCACGGCCAGGCCCGAGAAGGCCGGCCAGGGCAGGGAGCGCCGCACGTCGCTCGCCAGCTTCTCGCTGTGCGCCGCCAGGCTGGCGTTCTGCGGGCAGCCCCCGTTCACCGCCCAGCCGCTGGCGTCGTAGAAGGGGTAGAGGCCCAGCTGGTCCAGGTAGAAGATGGCGAGGCGGGGCCCGGCGAAGGCCTGCGCGGGGTTGGCGACGACGCCGAACGGCCCCAGCGCCAGGGGGGTCCCGTGCCGCGCCTGGCACTGCTGCGTGGGCGCGTTCCAGTAGACCTGGAAGGGCTCGCCGGGGGGCGCGGGCAGGGCCGCCGGTTTGCCGCACCGACACAGCGCCACCTGCAGCGCCAGGAGAGAGAGGAGAGCCGCTCCCCGGAACGCGGCGCCCCCCAGTGGAGAGACAGGGGGCGGTGCGGCCCCTGAAGTCAGTTTTACCTTCTGCGGCGCCTGCGCCTGCCCAGTCCGGAGCCGGGCCTCAGTACTGCAGGGGACATGGCGAGAAGGAGAGATGAGCTGGAAGCACTGGTGCAGGATCTCAACATGTCTTCAGCCTTCGATGAGTCTGGGAACAACACCTGTGACAAGTGGGCTGCAGTGTGCAGTCAGTGCCTGCAGGGGGCTGCAGTGTGCAGTCAGTGCCTGCAGGGGGCTGTAGTCTACAGTCAGTGCCTGCAGGGGGCTGCAGTGTGCAGTCAGTGCCTGCAGGGGGCTGCAGTGTGCAGTCAGTGCCTGCAGGGGGCTGTAGTCTGCAGTCAGTGCCTGTAGGGGGCTGCAGTGTGCAGTTAGTGCATGCAGGGGGCTGTATTGTGCAGTCAGTGCCTGTAGGAGGCTGCAGTGTGCAGTTAGTGCCTGCAGGGGGCTGCAGTGTGCAGTCAGTGCCTGCAGGGGGCTGCAGTGTGCAGTCAGGGCCTGCAGGGGGCTGTAGTCAGCAGTCAGTGCCTGCAGGAGGCTGCAGTGTGCAGTCAGTGCCTGCAGGGGGCTGTAGTCAGCAGTCAGTGCCAGCAGGGGGCCGTAGTGTGCAGTCAGTGCCTGCAGGGGACCGCAGTGTGCAGTCAGTGCCTGCAGGGGGCTGTATTCTGTGCTAATTCAGAGACTGGGATGGAATCCATCCTGGGAGGAGAGGGAGGCTGGCTTTGTCAGAACAGGTTGGGAGGAGAAGCAGTCGTGAAGGGAGCACGATTTCTTCATTCCCCAGAGCCTGGGAAAGCCCCAGACTGGACTGGAAGCATGAAGGAGGTGGTGTGTCTGGAGCTGGGGGGGGGGG